GATGGCCCGATGGGATGTATCTAATTTACACCATGGTCCGATGGGGGTGTATCTAATTTACACGATGGCCCGATGGGGTGTATCTAATTTACACCACGGCCCGAAAGGGGGGGGGGGGGGGGGTATCTAATTTACACCATGGCCCGAGGGGGTGTATCTAATTTACACTATGGCCCGATGGGGTGTATCTAATTTACACCATGATATTGTGAATAATGCAAAATGATATATTCCAATAATTGCACGAGAAGGGGGTCTTAAGCAATTGGTCCTTATTTTTTTTTTGTAAGGCATGATAAATGCAGGATATCCAATTGAACGGCTTCATGGCGTTAATTAGTATCCTACGATGGTTATTATTAAGTAACTCGTTATATGACCCTGGTCCTTCCTGGAATAGTATTGACCGAGAATCCTGAAAATCACACACGATAATTAAGGGTTGATTGCAACCCGACACATTTCAAACCATGACAGAGGCCTAAATAGTTTTTGTCTGCGTTACTTCCCTTTTTTTGGTCCTGTATAGTGATGTTTGGTGGCTCCCTCTAACGAGTATTTTTTTCAAATGGTTCGTTGTGCATGTTTTTGATATAATAAATTGGTCAAAACATAAAAATACTATGCAATCGTTTAAGCCAAAAAAATAAATAAATAAATAAACACTTTTGTTTAGACTCTCCTGTACCTACCTTTTTTATGCCTTAAAACGACTACTCTAAAGTTATTTTTGGCACTTTTGGTAGAAAATCGTGATAGAATAGGAGAATCTCCCGACTCCATGTACTCGAGGTAAACAAATGAGGAAAATAAAAAAAGAATTCCTACAATAAAAAGGAAGAAAATTTGCCTTTTATGTTTATTTCATCGTTGAATTCGTTGTCCGAAAGGTGACAGCACTTGTCTTTCAGAATAGATTGATGTTTGTTTTTGTCCAGTGGCAAATATTTAATACATGTTTGACTGAGAACAAATTAACAATTAATACAATAAGTAGGTCCAATACTCCAATATATTAGAAAAAAAATTCCTTTCATCAGAAAAACACTCCACCACATAAAAAAATATTTTAGTACGACAGAACCCTTAGATGAACACCCTAGTACCTCAGACAAGCACTTCAATACCTCGGATGAACACTCCAATACATTAAAAGAACACCCCAATGCATCAGAAGAACACTCCAATAAATTAAAAGAACACTCCAATGCATCAGAAGAACACTCCAATACATTAAAAGAACACCCAAATGCATCAGAAGAACACTCCAATACATTAAAAGAACACTCCAATGCATCAGAAGAACACTCCAACACCTCAACTGTACATTTCAATGCCTCAGAAGAACACTGTTATACCCCAGCAGAAAACCAAGTACATCTGGTGAACCCTCCAATACATCAGAGGAAAACACCAATACATAAGCAGGACACTCCAACACCTCAGAAGGACACTTCAGTACTTCAGAAGAATACTCTAATATGTCAAACAAAAACTCCAATACCTCAGCAGAACACCCCGATGCCTCAGATGAACACTCTTATACATCAGAAGAACACCCCGTGCCTCAGAATAACATTCCAATACCTCAGAAAAGCAATTCAACACTTCAGATGAACACTCCACTACCTCCGGATTACAATCCAATACCTCAGATGAACATTCCATACATCAATTGAACACTTGAATACCTCAGTAGTATACGCCAATACCCGTGATGAACACTTCAATACCTCAGATGAACACTCCAACACATCAGAAGAACACTAAAATGCATCAATTGAACACTTCATTACCTCAGAAGAACACTTCAACACACCAAAAGAGCATATGCACTCTAATACCTCAATTGTACAATTCAATACCTCAGAAGAACACACCCAACACCTCGGAAGATCACTCCAATACCTCAGATGAAGACTCTAATGCATCAGAAGAACATTCCAATACTTCAACTGTACATTTCAATGCCTCAGAAGAACACTGTTATACCCTGGCAGAAAACCAAGTACATCTGATGAACCCTCCAATACATCAGAGGAAATCACCAATACCTAAGCAGAACACTCCAACACCTCTGAAGGACATTTCAATACTTCAGAAGGACACTCCAACACCTCAGAAGGACACTTCAATACTTCAGAAGGACGCTCCAACACCTCAGAAGGACACTTCAATACTTCAGAAGAACACTCTAATATATCAAACAAAAATTCCAATACCTCGGCAGAACACTCCAATGCCTCAGATGAACACTCTTATACATCAGAAGAACACCCCGTGCCTCAGAATAACACTCCAATACCTCAAGAAAAGCAATTCAACACCTCAGATGAACACTCAAGTACCTCAGGATTACAATCCAATACCTCAGATGAACATTCCATACATCAATAGAAAACTCGAATACCTCAGTAGTATACGCCAATACCCGTGATGAACACTTCAATACCTCAGATGAACACTCCAACACATCAGAACACTAAAATGCATCAATTGAACACTTCAATACCTCAGAAGAACACTACAACACACCAAAAGAGCATATGCACTCTAATACCTCAATTGCACAATTCAATACCTCAGAAGAACACATCAAAACACCTCGGAAGATCACTCCAATACCTAAGAAGTACACACCAATGCCTCAGAAGAACACACCAATACCTCAGAAAAACACTCCAAAATCACAGACAAAACACTTCAATATATCAGAAGGTACTCCAAAATCTCAGAAGAACATTCTAATAAATCACAAGAACACTCCAATACCTCGGATGAACACTCCATGCCTCGGATTAACACTCCAATACCTTCGAAGAACACTCCATACCTCAGATGAACACACCAATACCTTAGAAAAACACTCCAACATCACAGAAAAAAACACTTCAATATATCAGAAGGTACTCCAATACCTCAGAAGAACATTCTAATAAATCACAAGAACACTCCAATACCTTGGATGAACACTCCATGCCTCAGATTAACACTACAGTACCATAAAGAACACTCCATACCTCAGATTAACACTCCAATACCTCGGATGAACACTCCATACCTCAGATTAACACTTCAATACCTTAGAAGAACACACCATACCTCAAATTAACTCTCCGATACATCAGAAGAACACTCCATTACCTCAGATTAACACTCTACACCTCAGACGTATACTCCAATACATCAGATGAGCACTCCAATACATCAGATGAACACTCTAATACCTTAGAAGACCACTCCATACCCCAGAAGAACACTCCATACATCAGAAGAACACTCCATGCCTCAGATTAACACTCCAATACATCAGATTAAAACTTCATACCGGTATACGTTTTTTTTTCAAATGCACGTAAACGATTAACGGGCTATAGATATGACATGTAGTTAAGTCCCTATGCCTCAAACTGTATTGTACCATGGTATGACTTGGGTATTAAAATATTGTCACCCGGGCCAGTGGCGGATCCAGAACTCATTATAAAAGGGGGCACTGACTGACCTAAGGGGCCGGGGGGCTCCAGTCATGCTTCAGTGATTCCCTATATAATCAACCAAATTTTTCCCACAAAAAGGGGGAGGGCGGGCCCCTCCAGACCCCCCCCCCCCTGGATCCGCCTATGACAAGACTTCTCCGGTCCAGTAGTAAACCCCGTTCTAAAGTGGAGCGTCCGTTTGTATGTGCGGGTGTATAATTACGCAATCGCGTCCAGACAGTATGTGGAACATTTAATCTTTCTCCTTATTTGTATAAAGACTCTTGTCTACAAATAGTTATGGCAATAAATGATTAAATCATAGTAGCGAAATGAAGTAATTTTAAAGGCAGTACATACCATATATTTCCAACGACTTCCATGTTGGTTGATTGGCAGGGAAAAAAATAAATATTCTAAATAACCTAAGGATCACTAATTAAGTTGAAATTTGGTTGAATTTAATTGGTGCAGAGGTTTCAGAGGTAAATGTTTTGAAAAAAAAGTTAACGACGGACAACGACGGACGCCAAAGAAGCGATGACAATAGTTAGAGGTGATCTAACATGCAAAAATGAGTTAACATTTATATCTAACCTCTGAGGAATCAAATAATGATTTTGGTGATAGAAGTCTTTGGTAAAAACTTGCTTTTAAAATATTATAAGCATTCATGATTTTTATTTCCATCTTTATAGATAATAATTTAAGTTTGTTCAAACTTTATTATTAATATTTTTTTAATTTTTTTTTTATTTTCACCCTGCTGGATGTAAGGAAGGAAGGGAAAAAAAATACTCAAGAGTACTTTTAATGTATTTTTGTTATTAATGCTATTTTCATTGTCTATTATAATATCTGTCACGTTATATACTGTACAATGTATCATGTTTGTTGCTTATACTATCATAATTGTTAATTGTAAATGCCCCCTGTGGGACCCTGATTGGAATAATAAAATATTTGATTTGATTTTGATTTGATTTGTATGCAGCGTATTAATAATAGTGACTAAAGCCCTCAAAATCCTAGCTTAAACCCTGGTATTATGAAACTCGCCGCGCATGTCTGAGGGTCTGGATGGGCCCTCATTTCTGTATTCTTTAATTTTTAGACCATTCTTTTTTTCTATTCTTTATACGTTTTGCCCATAATTCTCCATTCTTTATATTTAACACCTAATTGTTCTCAATATTTTTTTTTTCTTTTGGTCCATTTTTCTCTATTCTTTATATTTTTTGCCCATTATTCTCTATTCTGTCACGTAAAACCCCCATCCACCCCTCATGTCTGTCTGCATTTACTGCATATTAATTATCATTATTTCAATATTTGTATCATCGAAAGACGCTTATCTGTAAAAAGTCCTATTCAATAAATTGAAAATTTTTACTATGGTAGTTAATTTTCCGAACAAGCTACACAGCCACAGATATAATTTTACGTTTTGAGAACATCCCTTAGCACCAAAACAAACTTATTTGGAATAGACTATACGATTATATAGCATTAAAAATGTAAGCGGTTCTAACCGGATTTGTTGTATATTATCAATAGACACTGTATAAATAGGTAGAATATATAGATCATTCAAAACAACCATTTGCTACGATCATGTCGACCGCTGATGTCGTACCTCCAGGATCGGTGTCTCTTGAAGATCCGTCAGAATACCGTCCAGAATATAAAGACAAAGATGACTATCGTACGTTCGATATCCACACATCACCTGAAAGAGTGATTAATACATACAGAGCAATGCACACTAACCAGACCCTGGATTATGTGAAAAAGAAAAATGAATATTGGTGCAAATTCAACCATGGCGAGATGAGCATTATGGAAGCGCTAAACATGCTGAACAATTTTATGGATGAGAGCGACCCTGATGTCGATGTACCGAATTCCGTACACGCATTCCAAACGGCCGAGGGAATCCGACAGAAACACCCCAACAACGAATGGTTCCAAGTAACAGGTCTGGTCCATGATGTAGGAAAAGTAATGGCGCTGTGGGGTGAACCACAATTTTCGACCGTTGGAGATACTTTCCCAGTCGGCTGCCGTCCCGATAAATCGATCGTTTTTGACGCCGAACTTTTTAAAGACAACCCCGATTTACAAAATGAGAAAACCAACACGAAACTAGGAATATACGAAGAAAATTGCGGTTTGTCAAACGTTTACATGTCTTGGGGCCACGATGAATATCTGTACCGAGTTCTGAAAGCTCCAGAAAATACTTGCCATCTTCCAGAGGAAGCCTTATATTGCATCCGGTTTCATTCGTTTTATCCCTGGCACACATCCGGTGCTTACAAATATCTGTGCGACAACAAAGACTTGGAAATGATGAAATGGGTGAACGAGTTCAATAAATTTGATCTGTATTCCAAAACTCCGGATATTCCTCCGCTAGAGGAGTTGGTGCCTTATTACACAAAACTTGTGGAGAAATACATTCCGGGAAAGCTAAAATGGTAGAATTAGTCATATACAGAAAAAAACTTTGACTTGCAGCTAAAGTGAAAAAATGCTCAAAGCATGCGTTACAGTAGTTTTATAGGATGATTTTGATATCGGATCATTAATATGAAAATTCCTTGAATACTTTGGTATTTATATAAGTCTTTGCAATTTTAAGCTTCTAAAATAGTTTTAATTTTTTAAACTATATCACAGTGTATCAGCATATTATACATGTTATAGTTGTCAATCTTTTGTATATCAGTGTGTCAGTATATAGTTGTCAATCTTTTGTTCATAGATCCGCTTTACACTGAACATGTATATCGGAGAGACGAAAGACTTTTTTTTATTTTTTACAAAAAAAAACAACAATTCAAGCGCCTTCTGAGGTTTTGAAAAGATTCGTTTTAGAATCGATAAATTATCGTCACTATGTGATAGGTTTTGACGTCTAATAAATAATTAGCATTTGGTTACCATAGTTCTAGAAAGTACTACAGGGAGTATTGCAAATGGAACTATAAAAAATATATGAAAAACATCACTCTATTCTTATAAATCCCATATATATAAATATATAATAGTATATGTATTGTTCCGAAAAATAACTAATATTTAGACAGATACGAGCATTTTTCCATATACTAGTATGTATATTGTTCCTAATACAACGTTAATTTAGTCAGTTACGAGCTTTGCGCATTTTCCCGTATACATGACATGGTATATACTTATATGTATATTTTTCCGAAAACAACTAAATTTTGAGAAGTCAGTTACGCGCTATGCGCATTTTCCCATATACTAGTATGTATATTGTTTCGAAAACAACTGCAATTTAGTAAGTTACACGCTCTGCACATTTTTTACTTGCTCGAGTTTTTCATTATATTGGAATCTTCAGAAATAAGATTCGTAAAAATGTAAATTAATAATATATATATATATATATCATTAATTATATATATATATATATATACATATATATATATGTATACTAAACTCTCATCATTTATGGTACATTGTCTTTTTAAGTAAGACTGACAAAGAAATGGATGAGTTAATAAAATTCTTCGGTATCTTTGCAAATGAGATTTGTTTTAGAATCGTGTACATTTATTTCAAAAAGATCTTGTTTAACATGTATTCATGAGGGTCTGGATGGGGTATTTCATTTCTTTATTACTTTAATTTTTTAGACCATTTTTCTCTATTCTCTATATTTTGTTGACGACACCATTATTTTCTATTCTTTATCTTTTGTCTATTTTTTTCTACCCCCTCCCCCCGCCCTTAGTCTGCACTTTTAGCACATTGTTCTCTATTTTGTATACCCGATCCAGACCCTCATTCATTGTATCTTATGAAATTATCTGATCGATACATGCAGTTATATCTTTGGGTGTACCAAAATGGACGCTTTCTTAGTAATTTCTACATATTGGATCATCAAAGAAAACACAATGAGCTTTCACAATTGAAATGTTTTTTTTTTTAATTTAATAGCCCACAAAAATGTGTGTGAACAATTGAAACTAAAAGTCTTCTTGCTGTCAGTTGTTTAATTGTTTTGTTTTAAAAATAAATATGGATAAACCAAAAGAATATTTTCTTTTATTAATCTTCTTCCCGTGAATAAACTCCATCGTGTCTCATTGTAATGAAATCCAGGGGCTTCAGGGATATAATCAATACACATTGATGATGATTGAAATAAGTATGTAAAAGACAGGAAAGCTGAAAGGTAATTGGTAATTTGCACGTGTAGTGATAATCTACAGCTATAAGTTAAGCCCCCTTTTCTTTTGAATTGTTTCATATTTCGTCATGCAGGGTTTACTATACGGTATTGGTTTTACTCCTTGTTGAAGTACGTGCGGTGTTCCTGTCAGAATATTCATCATGTTGAATGTCCCGCATATGGAAATATAAAAAAGAATAAAAATCGCTCTGTCATAATAATTATCTCTCTTATTTACGTGCTCCATGATTCTTGTGGTTGTTTATTAAGTTCACGATCGGTAAACTTCGGCAACAAAACCCAAAAGTTGATAAGTGTAAAAATAAGGAGATGTGGTATGATTGCCAATGAGACAACTATATATCTACCAAAGTTCAAATGAAGTGAATGTAAGCAATTATAAGGCAAGTACAGCCTTCAACAATGAGAAAACCCCATACCGGGTAAAGTCGGCTATAAAAATATGAAACGATTCAATTGAGAAAACTAACGGCCTAATTTATAACAAAACACTTTCACGAAAAACAAATACGACAGACATGAACCAACTACAACTTGTACAACCACTGAACTACAGGCTCCGGACATATTTTTGTGTCATTATACGTTAATGTTAAAAAGAACGTTCATAGAGCATGTAGAGGACATAGTTTAAAATTGAGAATGGAAATGGGGAATGTGTCAAAGAGACAAGAACCCGACCAAAGAGCAGAAAACAGCCCAGGGCCACCAAAGGATCTTCAACACAGCGAGAAAATCCCGCACTCGGAGGCGTGCTTCAGCTGGCCCCTAAGCAAAAATGTGTACTAGTTCGGTGATAATGGACGTCATACTAAACCCCAAAACATATAAATTAACTAAAATTAAAAATCATACAAGACTAACAAAGGCCAGAGGTTCTTGACTTAATTAGGACAGGCGCAAACATGCGGCGGGGTTAAACATGTTTTGTGAGATCTCAACCCCCCCCCCCCCCCCCCCCCCCCTCCTAATACCTCTAGCCAATTAATATAGTTTAGTATATATGCATGCATTGGTTCAATAATTTCCTTAACATTAAAATTACAGGTGACTCATTCAATATAACTTTAAACAAATAATGTTCAATGTTCGAAGTCATTGAACCCCTTGGAGACCCTTAATTGGAGCTCCTTTACATCTTTTGACATAGTTACATAATGTCATTCGGCTACTGTATTTAGGTTAACAGTTACAATAACTCGCAAAGTATGTGAATTATTTGTCGTGACACCATCATTTGTGCCACAGACATATACATCTGGTAAAACATCTGACTGTTGTATATATAGATGTTGTTTTGTTGATACATTCAATTATCCAGCTACATGAACACCTGACTTTGGGATTAACGACCTCTTTCAATGCGGGCCCATCTCATAAGTGAAAACGATCCCCCGAGACGTGAAAACGATATACTGACAGTATTGCGGTTCTAATGCTGGTTGAAATTCTTTAAGAATGCCAACCAGTTCGGACACCCTTATAAAATATGTGCATGATGTAAATAATCATAACCAAACGATTCAGACTAAACCTTAAAGTGTTTGCACACGTTTGTGATTTTTTTTCAGACACAAAACTATAATATCAGATTATCATATGGCATTTTTCATATCAGATGTATTATCCGCACGAGGTTCAATATCAGCCCAAGAGCCGAAGGCTCGAGGACTGATATTGACCGAGGGCTGATAATACATCTGATATGAAAAAATGACATGTTATGATCTTTTCATCATATGCTTCAACAATGAAGAAAAATATATTGATCCTTTTAAGTGGTTCTCAAGAAGAAGTTCAAAAAGTGAAAAGTTTACGGATGTCGGTCGCCAAACGTATGAAATCATTCTATAATATGCCTCAACAGAGGATAAAAACAACAGCATGGTATATTTTTATATTGACGATGAAATAAAAGTCAACAAAACATAATGAACACTCTTTGGAAAAGTCAACATTTGTAAAGTAACTTTCTAAATTATGCTTGAAACTTTGAAAAATGCATTTATTGTATCATTTGTTTTTTTTTTCCATTTTACATAATATATTTTCCTGTTTCATAATAATTGTTTTGTACCCTACTTTGTTATGTTTTCACTGAAAACGTACCATCGAGGTGTATTTTCCGGAATTTGCCGAGTATAACGCCTGAATGCCATGCGATAACGTTACGGAAAGGCATGTGATAATAGCTGGAGGCATGTGATAATTTTTTCTTGTAGAAAATAATGGTATAATTGTACCCCTTGATAAAACTAATTTATACATATATTTATTCAATAAATTTGAAGAATTGTCTTAGCCGTGTGATATGACTTTTGTTATCTACTGCTTCCGGTATATATCAACTGTTTCCGGTTTATATCAACTGCTTCCGGTTATTATCGCAGCCTTTCTTTAACGTAATCGGATTTTTAGCATTTCGACGTCATTCTGCAAATTCCGGAAAACAAACCTCAGTAATACATTTAATTGAAAAACATAGCTAAGTAGAATAACAGAAGGAATATTAGGAAACAGGAAAATATATTATTAAAAAACGCAAAACAAATAATACAATAAATGAATTTTATAAAGTTTTAAAAAAACTTTCATGTCTGTATGGCTTCTGCCGAAGTATATTATAAATATAGATTATAACATGGCATTTTTCATATCAGACCCCTTATCAGCCCGAGAGCCGACAGGCTCGAGGGATGATTTTGACCATAGGCTGATAAGGGGTCTGATATGAAAAATGACATGTTATGTTCTTTTTATCATATATTTCAGCAGAAGCCATACAGACATGAAAACTTTTTTAAAACTTTATAAATTTCATTTATTGTATTATTTGTTTTGCGTTTATTAATAATATATTTTCCTGTTTCCTAATATTCCTTCTGTTATTCTACTTAGCTATGTTTTTCACTTAAATGTACCACTGAGGTTTATTTTCCGGAATATGCAGAATGACGTCGAAATGCTTTGCGATTATTAAAGAAAGGCATTCGATAATAACCGGAAGCAGTTGATATAAACCGGAAACAGTTGATATATACCGGAAGCAGTTGATAACAAAAGTCATATCACACGGCTAAGACAATTCTTCAAATTTATTGAATAAATATATGTATAAATTAGTTTTATCAAGGGGTACAATTATACCATTATTTTCTACAAGTATATGATAAAAAGAACATAACATGTCATTTTTCATATCAGACCCCTTATCAGCCCATGGTCAAAATCATCCCTCGAGCCTGTCGGCTCTCGGGCTAATATCATGACATAGGGCTGATAAGGGGTCTAATATGAAAAATGCCATGTTATAATCTTTATATATCAGCCCGCTAAACACTATTTCGGAAAATATGGAATTCACTTAAATTTAATGCTATTATCATACTGTAAAAATCATAAGTTGAAAATACACCTCAATGGTATGTTTTCTGTGAAAAACATAACAAAGTAGGGCATACGTACAAAACAAACATCAGGAAAAAATATATAAAACTGTTGTTTTTCTCCCCTGTTTAGGCATATGATAGAAAGATTTTATATCGGTTGTTTACCATTTGGTGTCCGTCGCCCGTAAACTTTTCACCTTTTAAACTTCTACTTTAGAACCACTTAAAAGGATCAATATATTAAACTGTTATTTTTCTCCATTGTTGAGGCATATGATAAACAGCCTTCGGCTTTTGGGCTGATATTGAACCTTGGTCTGATAATACATCTGATATGAAAAATGCCATGTTATAATCTGATAATATCGCATTGCTTAGTTTATCAACTTGTAAAACTTGTTTTTCGTTAAAAAAATATGTTATACATTAGGCTGTTGATTTTCTCGTTTGAATTGTTTGAATTGTTTCACATTTTTCATGTCGGGTCCTCTTTAGCCGACTTAACGGTATGGTTTTTTTCTCATTTTTGTAGTCAGTACAGTAGCCTATAATTGCTTTTATCCACGTGACGGTTAGTGCCATAAATTATGTGAAGGAATGATAGCAGTTGCCTCCTATGGCTGGAAAACCAAAGAGAAATATAGAAAAAAACAAAAGAAACACACATAAAAATAATACATGGGGATTCGTGAAAGCTCACTTCTAATCTTAATCAAAGACAGTTGCTTTAAGTGGTCTTTTTTAAAGAGCAAGTACTATCGCTAACGAGAATGAAATAATGATCAACAAACCGCTAACATCTAAACGTCAACTGTAGTAGGGCAAATGCAGCAGCAGAAACCGTGAAGCACCACTTTTTGATAGACATTGTTATCCCACTTACTTAGTAATTGTTGATCACTCCTCCAAACATTGACCACACTCATCATATTATAATGCCTCCATTTACATATACATGTATAGATATCAATTTACGACCCTGCACGTCATTTGAATTCTGTGGATAGTTGTCTCACATACCACATCTTATTTTTATATGTTGAAAGGCTCGAAGGTGTAAAATCTGCACAGCTGTATCCTAAAGATAATTTCTATTGCTTCTTTTAGCGTTGCCTGTAGGATTCTGCAGTTACAGCCTATCAACTTGGAACATATCAATAATGACCAGAAGTATACATTGGGCCTAGGCTATAATAACAATTTAAAATATCTGGGGAAAAGCAGAACAAACACGAAAAACGGCTCAGCATCTAGATACTTAGGTGGCCGCAAACTCCAGCCTATTTTAATGCCTCCATTTACATATACATGTATAGATATCAATTTACGACCCTGCACGTCATTTGAACTCTGTGGATAGTTGTCTCACATACCACATCTTATTTTTATATGTTGAAAGGCTCGAAGGTGTAAAATCATGCACAGCTGTATCCTAAAAATCATAGCTCACATGT